CATTATATTTTTAAACTTGGGGGTAATTTATTGTTATTGTTGTTGTTGTGCTTTATTATTAAATTTTCATGCCACTAAATTCATCACATTAATTTTGGATCAATTATATGTAACATTTCCCTGAGTAAAGGTATGATGTTTAGATGAAGTCGAATGTTGATAGGGGAATCAAGTTTCCTACTTCACTTTATATATCCCCTTTACTTCAAGAATAGGTGGGAAAAATATCTAATGGACTTGCCAGAAGCTTATATCGTTCTCTGTCAGCAACTGGTTTTATCCAATGGCAATTGAAAATTGTTAATGGTCGTTTTGAATCTAAGGCATTTGGTCAGTTTGTCACCAATTGTCATTTCACTTCTGAAACTTCTGTATTGTTATAATATTCATTTAGGTGAGGCAAAGTGGAGGGAGATATCTCCCTCCACCGAAAGGTGAGGGTTACTTGAATCAGCTTATTTTTATTTAGTGTTAAAAGTTAACAAAGATCCAAACATCCTATGGCTTCTCTCTTTTGCGAATGAAAATGAATAGTGCGTGTCTAAACTTGGTATGTTTCCTTCATTGAGAGATGTGAGGAAGTCCTTCGCATTTAGTGCTTTAAAATACTTGTTTTCAGTAAGTCATGACATAAGTATGTTTCCTTTTCAAGTGGATAAGTATTAATTTTTCAACCTACCCTTTCCTTGTTCCTGCATTTAGACCAAATATGTTTTATCTTCTGATTTCTTTTGATTTTGTTGAAGGAAGTCTTGCAGACAATCAAATTTGTTCAAGTATCGAACAATGTATTTTTTAATTGGGAAGTTTCAAAGTTGATATTTTAAATGTATTTTGGAGATGAGTAAATCAATTTAATTCTTGGGTTCCTTCTTATTTATTTTATCAAGTTGGTTAATGTTTTTTTTTTCTCTAGTCTTTTTATCTTTACACAGTGTCATTCACTAGCTTGTGGCTGTACCCATGTTCTGTTCAAGTGAATCATGTAAGGTTTGCTATTGGAAGAAGTTGTTAAAAGTCCCACCCTTTATAAATTTCATACAGCTGTTGTTTTGAAGATAGTCCTTTGTGTTGAGTGTAATAAAGTGCCTGCATCAATGTTATTTCTATCTTATCTTTGTATATATTATGATTTCTAAAAAAAATTTCTTCAACGCAAACTTGTGGAATGCAAAAGTTCATGTAGTACGGTTCTTGTACATTGTTGATTTCAAAAGTAGTGTCAACTGTTGTTGATCATTCATGCCCCGAATGTTCATAATGTGATTGTTTTGTGCCTGTGTGTGTTTTGGAGTAAGCAGATTCAGTCAGTTTATGGGGAACATCTGGTAGGTCCCCTCACTAGAAGGTCCCCCCCAATTATTTTATGATTTTTTAAATA